TGCTTTAAAATTGCAGTCCCTACAAAACCTAGAAAAATAATTAAAAATTCCAGTCTCACTCAAATCTGTGATGCGACCATATCAACTCTGCAAAGTATGCATGCCACCCTCCCTGTACTATACAGGTAGTACTCGAGTTACAACAGTTCACTTGGTGACCATTCAAAGTCACAACGGCACTGAAAAAAGTGAGTTAGGATCATTTTTCGCACTTATGACCATTGCAGCATCCCCATAATCATGTGATTTACATTCAGATGCTTGACAACTGACTCATACTTATGACAGTCACAGTATCCTGCAGTCATGCGATCACCGTTTACAAGCTTCTGACAAGGTTGCAAAAGCAAGGTCAATGGGGAAGCCGGATTCCCTTAACAACCGGGTTATTGAATTAACAGCTGCTGTGATTCACTTAACAACTCTGTCAAGAAAGATCGTAAAATGGGACAAAACTCACGTAACAAATTTCTCACCTAACAACATAAATTTTTGGCTCAATTGTGGTCGTAAGTTGAGGATTACCTGTACTACCTAGTAGTATAACTATAGTAGATACACAATCATTGGAAGACCTCAAGGACCAAGCTTAAGGACAGATTTGTTATAGAGAAAAACTATGTGGTTACTGAGAACCGATATTGACTTGATGACCCATAACCAATCAAACAAACAAACAATTATTCAATCAATACACACTACAGATAGTTCACAACTTGCAGGCATTTGTTTAGAGACCTTTCTAAGTTATAGTGGCACTAAAAATAGTGACTTGCAACCAGTTCTTGCACATAAGACTGTTGTGACATCCCCACCATCAAATGAACAGAATCTGGTCCCTTGACAGCATGTATTGATGATGCTTGCAGCATCCTGGAGTCTCATGATCACCATTGGCCAGTTTCTGATGAGCAAAATCAATGGGGAAAGACGGATTAGTGAACACATGATCCACTGCAGTGATTTGCTTAACAACCATAGCCAAGAAAATTGTAAAATTAGGTTCAACTCACTTAACAACTGCCTTGCTTAGCAATGGAAATCTGATCCCAATTGTAGTCATAAGTTGAGGACTACCTTATAACATACAGTAAATATATAGCCACATGCACACACACACACACACACACACACACACACACACACACACACTGAAATCAAATGTAATACAGATGATCCTCGGCTTACAAGGGTCATTTAGTGACCGTTCAAAGTTACAACAGCACTGACAAATGTGACTTATGACTGTTTTTCACAGCTATGACCTTTGCTGTGAACACATTATTTATATTCGGATTCTTGGCAACTGATTCATATTTATGACTGCCGCTGTGTCCCGGAGTTATGGGATACTCTTTTGCAGCCTTCTGACAAGTAAAGTCAATAAGGAAGCCAGATTCACTTAAACTTATTACAAGTTTGTCAACCTCTGTGGTCGACTTAGCACTGTGGCAGGAAAGGGAATAAAATGGGGCAAAACTCACTGAACAAATGTCTCACTCAGCAATAAATTTTTGGGCTCAATTGTCTTGAATCGAGAACTACCTGTATAGTAATTAAAGTACTGGACTATGATTGGGGTGTCTCTGATTCTAATCCTCCCTTGGAGGAAGATGGCTGGATGACTTGTTCCAGTCTTTTTCTCCCTGGAGTTGACTAGAAAGTTGAAAAACTTCCATCTATCAACTCACACTGAACTAGTGTTGCAGATTACAACTCATAACTTTCAGGCACGTCCAAATTTTACCCTCCTGTATGGTCATTTGAGAAGAGATTTGTATCATTATTGTCACATCAGTGTGATCCTCTTAGGGGATGATGCATTTATAGCTTTTCATTTCTGTATCAAAGGCATTCTTTTAAATGTACAGCCTAAGAAATTATATATACTGCATATTTAATCTTTTGCAACACACTTTGTTTTAAAAGAATTGTCTGGTCTGAATGGAATCTAAAATAACTGTTTAACAGTTCCACACCTGCAGAATGCTATCGTGTAAAATGCTGTAAAGTGCTATAGTGTTTTTCTTTCCAAAGGGAAAAAAAGACTCCCAAAATGGTCTTTATATCCTCATTTTATTTTTTAAAAGCCTGAGTGCCTCTTTTTTTTCTGTGATAAGGGGGGGGGGGATGGCTCAACCCAAATAAAATTGATGTCAGTGAAACTAATTAATTAAAAGGAGAAATTATACATTTTAAAAGGATACATGTAATGACTAAACTGTCTGTCAGTTCAGTTTGGTTACGATCATCAAATTAATTAGCAATTGTTTTGAGGGAAAGCATCTGTTCTTTCTAGAGCTTTGTCTTGAATTGTACTGTGTTGTATACATGCCAATGAGGCTGTCTTAACCTATTGATTCCTGGGGAATCAGTTTTACCCATGAGATAAAACTGATCAGAAATTAGCTGCCCTTTTCCCTTCTAAAACACATGTAAAATCAAGTCCAAGAGAGATGCTCATTAAGATTTAGCTAGGGAATCTACACATAATTATATAATTGTTTGCAAGAAACCATGGCGAGAATGATTAAACTGCAGAGATACTCTCTGGGAAAAGTTTTGATCTGTCCTGAGATTTGGCTAACAGCTTCATAGCAGTTATCATAAGTTTCAGCAAGATTAAGGTCTTGAGGTAAAGAATGTGTGTGTGTGTGTATGTGTGTGTGTGTGTGTGTGTGTACTAAAAAAACAGTTCCCTGTTCTCTATCCGCCATATTTTTGTATTTTTCTTTCCATTTCAAGCCAGAGAAATTATGAAATAAATGATACTTAGTTCATAATAGAGCTAACCATTCGCTATTGAAAAAGTTGTGTTAGGAGATTTTGAGTTTCCTGTGATTTGGTGGATTTAAAGTGGCACATGTCCAGCAGCTGGTTATATTTGGCTGATCTTGTCAGGGTTTAAATACTAAGCAGACTACAATCAAAGGAGGTCCAACACTTTAGAGTAGACTGAGAACTATTTATCTAATGGTGAAAGTTCCAGGCCAGTAACCAGGAGGCTATGAATTTCAGTCCAGTCTTAGGTATGAAAGCCAGTGAGTGAATTTGGGGTAGTTACTCTCTTTCAATCCAATTCAACTCACACAGTTGTTGTTGTGAAGAAAATAGGTGGAGGAAGAAATATTAGGTATGCTCTCTGCCTTGAGTCATTTGTAAAAATAATAAAGGCAAGATTTTTTAAAAAAACATCTAAAGTAAACACACAAAAGCATCACAGGAGAAGGAGGTAACAAATTACTTCCCTACTGTTGCCAAAAATTACTTCCCTACTGCTGCCAAGAAAACTGAATAATTCTGTCTATAGAATGGGGAAAGGCACACTTAACCTGAAGAAGGGGTTATCAGCTGGAATGAAGTGCTTAAGACTTAAAGAAAATCTTTCCAGTTTGATTTGAATATTCCTTTTCTCCTTAAGAGTGCTCAAAATTTAAGAATATATCCAGATGATGAAAAAAAGTAGACTAAAAATAAAAGAGTGTTTAGGAAGAGAAATTCATCAGAGATATTACAACTAGATAACCAGTGCATTACTCTTTTGCTTTTAACATAGAACATCTGAGTTTCTAGAATAGAAATCAAGGAATACTGACAGCTGTCAGCAAACCAGCTTTATTCTTTCAGTTTATAATAATGTTGCCGGTGATTTGTTTGTTTATATAGAATCAGAGAGTGGAAGGAGCTGTTAAGGCCATCAGTCCAGGAATCCAAAATAAAGTATCTCCACCAAATGCCTATCCAGGCCCTGCTTAATCATATTCAACAAATGGAAGGTCATCATTTCTCTATATAATTGGTTCCACTGTCACACTGCTCTTATTGTTAGGAAACTTTTCCTAACATTCAGCCAGGAACTACCTTCTTGAAACTTAGGATTCTTACTTGTCTCTTGTATTCTGAAGCAATTGCTTTAAAAAGTGAGGCCTTCTATTTGGTTTTTAGTAAAAATTCACAAAAAAATGACCTGTCTTTTCTAAAGAAGTAAGTATCAGGATTTTATTTAAAGAACATATTGTTCAATTGTTAATGTAAAGATAATGTATGTGATAGACCAGGGGTGTCAAACTCGCGACCTGTGAGCTGGATGCATCACACGCTGGCCACGCCTATCCTCAGTTTAGCGAAAGGGGGGAAAGTTGCGATACATCACATGATGACACCGTGTCATCACGAATTTGACACCCTTGTGATAAACCATTACCTCATTCATTGTTAATGCATTGAATAAACTGTTCTTTTCCAGCTTTTTGACTTGGTGTACAGGGAGGAAACCTTGCTGAATGTCATTAAAAGTGTCACTCGCAATGGACGATCTATCATCTTGACTGCTGTACTTGCTCTTATTTTGGTTTACCTGTTCTCAATAGTAGGATACCTGTTCTTCAAAGATGACTTTATCTTGGAAGTAGATAAGCTACCTAATGAGACATTATTGCCAGGTTTGTATTTAATTCTTGGCCAAAAAAACAAAAACAAAACACCACAAATGGCAAACAAATAATAATAGGGAATTTATCTTGTGAATGCTAATCCCTCTTCAGCCCGCAGGCAATTTCTTGCTAAAACCAGTTGTACTTTAGCTTATTTATGCTTACAACTTGAGTTCTTAGTATTTTGAAAACTTAACTAATATGATTTCAAAGCAAATCAGGACCACATGTAGAAATGTATACATTAAGAAATATAACAAAAAATAAATGTACAGGTAACCTTTATAGTCTAATTCTATACCCAATATATATTGAAATAACGTGATTTGGATTGTATATGGGGAAAATGTAATGAAAAAGTCCTCCCTCCCCCTGTAAATTATGTTGTTCCCAAATATCGTATTTCACTAGAAGATATTAGTCATGTTTATATGCCCCTTCCCATATCACAAAAAGCAACCTCTGTTCATGCATATAATTTCTGGAATATCTTCCATGTATGAATTAATATGAATCCATATGCTGAAGTTCCCAAGTGACAATAATCAAAACCTGAATGCACATATAATGGGTACAATATATAGTGAATGCACTGACCCCCACCCCAGTCCCTTGCTCTCTCCAACTTCTCTGGGCTCAGCCTGAAAGCCTGAAGATGACTTGTACGTACTCACATTTACTTGGATGTGAAAGCAGCTCTTTATGAAATCTTGAATCCTGTAAGATTGTCCTGAGGGCTATATGTCTATCTAAGCAAATATAAGTATAGTACTCCATCACTACCACCCA